TACGCATAATCTATTTTGTTAATTTTGAATAGTTCGTCAATTTCGCTGAACTGCTGCTCCAACCATTCTTCTTTGGCTTTTCTTGCTTCTCGGTTAACCTGATTCCTTAGTTGACGATACTTTTGTTGTCCTTCTCTTGTATTATTGTTTTTATATTTTCGTCTTTTATCTATAAGTTTTACTATTTCCTTGTTAATCCATGCTTTTCTAGGTTCTTTCTTTTCTTTTTTTGTCAACATAGTATCCGATGCCTTTTTGATAGCTGTTTTTATGTTCTCCCATTTTTTATTCAGAGGGTCATCTACATTTCCTTTTTGGTATTCGATATCCATGTATCGTCCATATTGTTCCACAACCTCCGCTCTTCTAAGTAATCTGACACTATATTTTTCTTGCTGTACTTTTGGTCTTTGTGGTTTTTTATATCTGAGTTCGCATTTCGCTCTTACTAAATTATGATCACTGTCACAATCAGCGCTCGGGTATGCTTTACAGAATTTAACTTGGTTCTTGAATCTATTTTTCACCAATATATAATCTATTTGGTAACGGGCAATATTGCCTGGCATTTTCCATGTATATATTCTTCTCTTAGGGTTTTGAAATCTGGTGTTCGTTATAATCATCCCATTTTCTCTGCAGAACTCCACTACTCTTTCTCTCCTTTCATTTCTCTTACCTAAACCGAAGTCTCCGACTTCTCTACCTTCCCTGCCTTCACCAACTATAGCATTAAAATCACCCATGGTGATTACATTATCGTGTGGTTTAGTATGTTTCAATAGCTCTTCGATGCCTGCATACACTTCTTCCACTTCTTCATCGTTTGCTTTTGACGTTGGCATATAAACTTGTATAATTGCAAGGTTGTTTGGTGTTGATTCCATTTTAACCAAACATAGTCTGCTACTATAGGTCACAACGTTTGTAACTCTCGTACCCCATTTTTTATTGATAGCGAATCCAACACCTGTTTGTCCTTTTGTACTATTTGTATGAATAACTCTGGTATCGTCCAACCAAAAGTCACTATTATCTGGCCAGCGTATTTCGCATAATCCTAATATGTCTATATCTAGTCTTTTCATTTCTATTTTTATATTTTCCAGTTTTCCTGTTTTCAGCATTGTTCGTACATTCCACGTTCCTATTCTCTGCATTTTGTTCTTATCACATGCATCCTGCAGGGTAGCTCCCACCCGGACATCCGAATGGGGAGCTATTTTACATCTGGACAATTTTACACTGCGAGAATCCATATTAGAAGACAAATATTGGTTACCTAACCAGGGATGTTAATGTGGTAGTTTCCCCTTGCCTTCCACATCGCAGTCCAATCCCTATTCCTAGGAATTGGTGGGCCAAGTGCAGATAAATCTTGTTCATCTGCACTTAGTACTGAAAGCGCTGCTGCCCACTCCTAGGTCCATTTTAGTCAGCTCTTACGACAGACATGAACAACCGAGGATGTATTCTAGCCCCCACCCACAGGGTCAAACGCTATTATATATTATATTATTATTATTTGTCTATGTTTTAAAATTATTCATCTCCTGTCAAGTACTTTGTACATATTTAGTATTATAAGCATCTTTAATTCCTTATGAATTGCCCTATTGGGCGCAAGATAATTAAAAAAAATAAATATCGTCTGCATCTTCCAAAGCCTCTGACATTATTGCTTCTGTGTATAAATTAAATAGCAGAGTCCATAGAACACATCCCTTTCAAAGTCCTATCTAAATTTTAAAGTCATTATAAAGTGTATTATTTATTATTGTAATAGTTTATTGAAGCCAATACAAATTTTACTATGAATTGTAAATCTTTCCCATATAAACCAGTGGTTCTCAAAGTGTGTCAAAATATCAGTATATGGGTGCTGTGTCACCATATTTACTGGTCTTAAAAACAAGTTTAAAACCCAAATTACAGCAGGCATTATTATTAAAACAACATTTATAACATACTGTATAACCTCCCCTCCCCGAAAATCTTTCAAATTATATTATGCTATATTATCAAATAACTTATAGAATATTATAATAAAATTAAAATGCCACAAATTCAGCCTTACTATCAGTTCTATGTAACAGTATAGATTGTTATTGTTTACTAATACTATTATCCCTAAAGTTCCACCCCAATCTGATTATATTCCTTGCTCCACTCATAATCCAAAACAACCTATATAAATAGGTACTCCTACAAGCTAAGTTGCACCATAAAATTATGTTTTAAAATTTATTTTTATTGTCAAGGTATTTGTGATCATGTAGATGGTACCTCCAGGAAAATACTGTTCTTTGGCCCCTGGGATAAAACTGTAAAATAAAATAATATTTTAAAATTTAAATTCTCTATAACTTTGCTGTTTAATTATACAATACTATAATTATAATCAAATAATGTTCATAATGATTATTGTTTATATTTGTGCAGATGAAAATTTTAATGGACAAATAGACATAGTAAAAAATCATTTTAATTTTGGACAATTTAGATGTCCTGTAGTCTGGTCTACTAGATTTTCACTTCATCCTAGACTTCAACATTCAACTTCTATGCTTTTACTGGGTGTACAAGTTTTACATACTGTACTGGATAAGTTTTCAGTTCGTAATCGGCGTAACATGTTTGTCTATAAAGACTGTAACAGTTCTGTGTTTTATTTAAGGTATTTTTTTTTAAAATTATGTTTTATTAAAGCTCACAATAATAATCTAATCATTTTTAGATTCTATGAAAATTCAAGTCGATTACATCAAAATAATAATATGGCGGGTTCATTACAATATGATTCAGATGATGAAGACTCTATTTCTAGATGTTCATCTGCTACATCTACAACGGCCACAGTTTCGTCCTCAATAAATCCTCCTAGTTATACAAATTTTCCGCGTAAATTCTCTGAGGATAATCCTGGAACACGTTCTAATTATGGTTACTGGGGTGATACAGATTCAAAAGATATTGAAGATCTGACATTAAGAGTGCATGGTATATCACCTGTCAGTAAGTTCATAAACAATAATAATATTGCTACAAATAATTTAAATATCTAGAATTTAATAAAAATGTTCCTATATTTTTATTTTATTAGGTAATGAAATTTGTATTGATCTGGTTGAAGTACTACAAAATCGATTGAATGATGCTGTACTGGAGGTTCTTACAACTATGTTATACAGAAATCCACTATGTAAACTTTATCCAGATGATATTCGTTATATACAACCATATAATAGTCAACCTGACTTTACTATGAAAGTAAATAATTTAACAACTACAATTTTTATATTTTTAATACATTTTACTTAATTTATTAATAATTTTGCTTTACCTTGATTTTAGTATAGTACAATGTATTATATAAGTACTACATATGTTCATGCTCCTTAATTCATCTGTGATATCATCAGCTGTGGCCTAATTCTCAGGAATTAAGGAACATAAGGGTTATTTGATTATTCCTCTACATTAGATGTCTATGGAAAAATGCTAATACAGGGTGGGACTTATAAATAAAATGATTTTCAAATAACTAAAAAAAAAAAACAACATTGTTCATATCACCTTAATATATATAAAATAAAAAAGTGTTAACTTAAAAGAATTTAAAGTATTATAACTAAACCTTGCACAAGCTTAAGATTTTCATTAATAGACTTGTAATCATGTAGTGAGTTTAATGATTTGTATTAACCACCTTTGGTTTGCTATTTACTAGCCAAATAATGATATTAATTACATTTACGTTCTTATTACTACTTAATTCTTAACATGGATATTATATTAAGTTACAATAATATGATGTTTGACTAGGATAATATTATTAATTATTATCATACATTTAAATTATATCATATAATAGGTATGTTTATTATATTTACATGTATGTATACATTTATTAGATTCAAATTTTTATTTTTATTTTAGTTATCCTTGCCAATCGAAACTAAAATCACCAAATCGTTTTCTCACAATTTGAAACGTAGTGCTGCAGCATTGTTATTATATCCGCCAAAATATGGTATTCGTTATCATAGATTCTACTGTTCATATGATGCATTAGAAAATCCAGTAAAACCCATCATCCGTTCGTTTTTTATGTATAATCAATCAAGTGGTGTCACTAGTGGAGCTAGCGGAATGCGCAGCTCAAGTGGTAATCGAGGTCTAGCGTGTGTTGTCTTTGACATTTATTCAAATGAGTACAATAGCCGCAGTGGTTCAGTCGATGACAATTCATGTGATTATCCTATCGATTCAGAGTTGTTCAAAAGACGGGTACTTACGAAATGTATAGAAAATAGTGCTAAATCAAATGTCTATTATAGTGGTTATGGTTGGTGTAGATTTCTCTAACCCTCTCTTTCTTATTACATTAATGGTTAAAAAAATATTTTGTACTCTACAGTCAACGTATTTGTGTGGCGACGAGGTAGAATCAACACAGAAGTGCTTCAAACAAAATTGAATTCGACTATCACTCACTCTTTATGGGACATTTATATGGAACGATTTCTGTGGGAACAGCCAATAATCATTGAAAAAACGTCTGAGGTGTATGTAAATCCATTGTGTATTCATTATCTTGCCAAATGGATTGCGTTTGGAGCACAAATATCGGCCCCGTTAGCAGTCCATTCACGAATAGACCGCGAGTAAGTATATATATATAAAAAAAAAAAATATGTGTATATATACCAGTTTTGATATAGATGTCTATTTGAATATTCAATACTTCTTAGTATAGACACTAAGTATTTGGGGTGTATAAGGCATTACCATTATTGAGCCAGGACTCAGACCTCAGAGATTTTACCAGTGAAAAATATCTTTTATATTATTGTTTGATAAATTTAAGTATTATGATAAAAGAATAAAAAAGGAATAAAGATAATTTAATGTGATAAGCACCAACATCAACAAGTTAAAAACCTTTAAATTTATTTTATTTAAAAATTATAAATATTAGTGGCTAATTGCAGGATGCTGACCCCATTTTTTTTTAGAAGGGGGGGTTGAATATATTATTTTTCAATAGTAATAGTATTTGAACAAACATTATGTGAATAATATTTAAGTGGGAAAAGAGATACCAAATTTTTAATTAGCCATATCATATGCCATATAGTATACAATATTTATGATTTGTTATTAGTTTTATTATCATCGAATTTAATTGACTTAAAACTTTTATTTGTGATTTTTAAATAAAAATTTGCATTGTAATTTTCAGTTCCATTTTTTCTCTAGATTTCATATAAGCATACTACTGCAAAATCTTGATTCCTCATTAGCTGTATTATTATTATGTCTGTGATAGTATTATTATTATCAATATTCATATAATCTTTAGTATTCTGATGTATTGGTTTTACAATGATATTTATTATTAATAATTTTTTTCTGTTAACAACTTTTTTACCAGAAATTTTTTTCTGATTTTATAATGTAGCTCATTTTCCGATAGGAAATTTAATTGGAGTACAATTTTAAGGAAGTCTTTTTTTTGATTTTCTCAGGGGTTTTCATAATAAATGGAAAAACTGAAAAAAAATATAGGAAAATCAAGAAAATTTACTCAATGTATTACTTTTTTTTTTTATTATTATTCAGTTAAAAATATTTTTAGAAATTAGAAATTTAGACAGAAGACTCATATTTTCCTTTTTTAGATGTGGTAACATTTTAAAAAATGAGTTTTTATGTAATTTTTATTCATTAGGTACTCTATGGATAAAATTGTTATATTTAACAATTTATCAAGAATTTTATTATAACTCTTCTTTGTGGTAAAAAAAAAAAAGATTGAATGTAATGTACATTTTAATAAAATGCAGCCTTTCAAAATATGTATAAACAAACTTTGCTCTGAATCATTTTTCAATGGTATATTTTTGATTAAAGATCTAAATTAAATAACCTTATGTATCCATTTTCCCCACTTCCACTTACAATAGTGGCACATCCATTCTCACAATTAGCACATTTTTTATAAATCTGTAATGAAAAGATTTTTTGTTTTTATAATATTTTGTTATCTTTTATTTAATAGTTTTACATGTTACATTCAATATATATTTTTACGAACTTTTAGTTATTTCATAGAGTTGACATTATACAATTATACAATAAATAAAAATATAGGAGTGTTAACAATAAGTATTGGTATTATAAAGATAAACCATGTTCCTAACCAAAAATGATTCTGAGCAAAGTTCCCTTATGCCTACATGATTTAAAGTGCCATAATATTTATGATTTACATCAAAATTTGATTTTAAAACCATTATAAAAAAAAGCTGATACTGATGACGGGTGTGGCCACTGTTGTGGTAATTGGTGGGTAATTGAATTTAATGAAGTATTTTTTGTTTATACGAATATCAATATCAAATTTTGACAAAAACTCAAAACATGTAACCAAACTTTGCTCAGAAATGTTTTTCATTAGTTATAATTTGTAGTTGCTTACTGATATAAAATAAATAACTTAATGATATTCCTATCTTCTCTACTTCCCACCTACAAGATTGTATTGAGACACAGTTTTTTTTAGTAATGGGAAAGATTAGATCATCTATGAAAAAGCATTAGTTTGATAGTTTAACATATTGAACATTAAAAAAGGCATTCTAAAAGTTTAAATAAAGAAAAAAAAAATCAGGGTTTGAAACTTATTCAAATTTGATATCAGTTTTAAACTGGTTCTGTTAGCCTAACCCATTGCTGGAACTATATTCAAGATTATAGGTTACAGATTACAGGCTTAAAAATAATGTTGGTTACCTGTAACCAATTGAATGAGTTTTATAATACCTATGCCTAATGTAGCTATGCTTTGTAGATAAACAATATTACAAGTAGAACATTGCAATATAACTATTTATGTATAATTCGGTTGTGTAATCAGTTATTACATTATAATAACAGTGCATGTATTGGTATGGCTATAATATTGGTCTCTGATAAAAAAACCTTATAGTTTTGAAAATTTCAAGTCAAATATTCCGTTTAAAAGAAGAGTTTCAATAATAAAATGAAACCATTACCTTGATACCTGAATGAATTATTGAGCCATAATTATATCTTTACAATTTGTCAATTTCAATTCAACATGTTAAACTATTATAGTAGCTACAAGCTTATTATTATTAATGTAGCTAAAATAAATTAAATATATTAAAGCGCATATGTAGTTTAGACAGATTTAAAAATATCTGTACCTAATCAGTTCATAACTGGTTAAAACATACATAATATTATAGTTATTATAACATTTTATGTTAACTGAAAAATTGTAATCGATAACTGGGAATCATATTAGTTTTAAAAGTAAAAGTGGTCTAAGGTTCCGAAAATGTTGGGAAATTACCAGTTTCAAGTCCTGGAAAAATAATTGACAAATTTACTAAAAAATCAAGAAAATTAAGATTATGAATAACATTTTATTATAATTATTATACTTGTATAATATTTTATACTATCATTCTATTTAGTAATTTATGGTATGAAATATTTCTAGAGGCTTTAGCCAACCTTGTATTACATCTTCAAATACACTCATGCGTATCTAACATTTAAAACAAAAGAAAGATGTCTTCTTTTTATCTTAAAAATCAACATGTTTTGTTGATTTATGTAATACCTTTGCCACTGTTGTAAGTGGGAAGTTGGAAAGGTAGGATACAGAAGGGAATGTAATGTTTATCTGTAAGCAATGATAAACCATGCCTAAGACTTTGAGTAAAGTTCAGTTGATATTAATGCTTTGTCAACAATATAATTATTATATATGCCATATTATGGTAAAATAATTAACTATAGTCTGTCCCAGGAGAGAAAGGTCCGCTTCTGTGCATGTTTTCCCCCTCCACATAGCCGATTGTCATTTCTTCCGTCGTCGGTTTATGACTATACACCGCTAGGATATTTTGTAGAAATTCAATTGTTATTATTATCAGACATCGNAATCCAGACTTTGTTTTTTTTGTATACATATTTATTTATTTAATATCTTATTGAACACTGTAGGTATAATTCAGTAGGTATGATACAGTAGGTATAACAAAGTAGGTATAATACAGAGATATATATTTAATAAATAATAAATAATTATATTAAAACATTTCATTTTTTATTCGTTAAAATTACAATTCATCATTTTTGTCATATTGGTGATAAACAGTGGACTATGGACAGACAACAGTGCATTATTTGAAATGCAGTGTACAAAACCTGTCGATAGATCCGGGAGGGAATAAATGGATAGTGTTGCAGCGTGGGGATACGCAGTAGCGCTTCGATTTGGTCGGGGACAGACTATAGGCATAATATATTTTCTTTAATAATATTTGTTTAATATTGAATTTTTCCCATGTTTTAACTGGTTTTTCACATTTATTGGAAAAGCTCTTCGGAAAATCGAAAAATGATTTCCTATAAGTACCTTTCTAATCAGATTTCCATTTAAAAAAAGTACTATCATTACAAATTGGAGCAAAATTGCTGGTAGAAAAGTTGTTCTCAAACAAAAAAAAAAAAAATAAACATCTTCGATACACTCAGAATCTAAAACATTTTATTTTTATTAAATTTGATTGTCACGGACAAGGAAATACTATTTTTAAAAGATTAATTATCTAGCAGTAACTATTTACTGTATTAGAAATACAAGTGAATCAACTAGTTACCAATAAAATAATAATTACACATTTGCACTACTCGATTCAATACTCACTTATTCAATTAAGTCCAAATGATTATTCTACTTAATTATAATATATATTTTTCAAAATATTTTGTCTTTTAATTAAGTCCTCTCTCTATTCAAAATTCCTGGATATGCCACTAACAATTTTACAGTAATGTTCTTATAGTAAGTATTTTAGCTAAAAAAAAATCTACAGAATTGAAGGAATTTTAAATGTAGGTATTTGGTGATACAAAACACTATAAATGTGTGGTTTGAAACTGATTTTATACTTCTCTAAACAATAATTGTTAGCATATAATCAATAATAATAATAGTAATAATACTAATTGATATAATTATCAATTTGGTATCAATAAATGATAAAAATTAAAGTGGTCTTAATATATATTTTACGGGAAGAACCATTATAAAATGATTCTATTCAATAATAATATTATTATATTAATAATATTTAAAAAGTTCTATTTAAAAAATTCACTTGATATTGCATACAGTATACAAATATTATAATTTTGAATATTATTATTTGATTTTAGAATAAACATTAACCATGTGCTAAGAGAGTTTAAAACTCATTTATCTTGGTTGGAATCTTCAACATCAAATAATTTAACCATATCCGAACGCTATTTTTATGTTCCCTATACACAATATCATAAATCTAGTGATGAATGTGTTGGGGGTAATCCATTTATCAATTTATTGGATCCATTTCAATTAGAACAAAGGCAAGATATTACTTCAACAAACAATCCAATGTTCTATGAATGGAAAATACCAGATAACGAATTGGTATTCATTAAGACTGAGCCCCAGGTGGTATGCCCACCTTCTGTTGCAAGTGTCTTAATAATAGTGTCAGTAACTTCAACAATGAAAACTAAACAAAAACAACATACACAGCTTCATAATCGAAACATAGATGAAGAACTTAGTGATTCAGATACAGATAATGGTGTTGTACCTGAGGTTGAAAAAAAGTCAAATCATAGTGAAGATGGTAATAATTTTTAGTTACATAGAAATGTTTAAGTATTCAGGGTCAGTGTGAGGTGAAATGGGTAATATTTACCTTAGGGTAATATTTAAACTGAATCCCCTTTTGATTATTAAGTTTGTTTGAAAAAAAAAAAACAAAATGGCATTGAATCTATTTTTCATGCATTTTGTTTATATAACAAAATAGAGACATTTTAACTTTTTCTTAACATAATATTTAGTGATACAGTCTAGTACAAAAGGTGTATATATATTTTTTTTTTATTAATTTAAAAAAGAAATATAGAAATATGGTATTTTATCAATGAAAAATTATTCCAGTAATTTTATTTAATTTTAACAGATTTTATGAAAATGATTGAAATTGACAATGATCAATCATCAATGACTTTAAAAGATCATGATGATGACATCAGTGAAAATAATAGTGTAAAAGAAAATACAGCACTAATGGTGATTGATAGTAACAAATATGAAAAAAAAAAACAGCCCACAAACAATAGTAATATTAAAATTGTTAAATTATTAATGTTGGCTGTATCAGAGCAATCTATTCAGACATTATCATACAACTACCCTAATAGCAGTGATCAGTCTACTACCATACAATGTTTAAGTCGCTGGTTGGAATGGCGACATTCAATTTTCACATCATCTATATATCATATGTTGGGATTGACCAACCATGGTATATCATGTGATTCTGGTATTGTTAAGAGTCGGTCTACAAAAAGTGACCTTAATTTATTATTGGACTACAAGAGTTATGTTACTGCTATTGGAGCTAATGAATCCACAACTATTATTGACAATAATAGTGTTACTTTTGACAAATATAGTCGAAAGAGTAATAGTCGTACCAAGCAGACCAATGAAAATGATACAGAGGATAAAAAAAATAAATCAATACAATATACCAAAGATTTCCAGGATTCATTTCTTGAACAGTTGGTAAGAAACACCAAACAACAGCATAAATTAGGTGAGTACACAATAATGTAATTTAAATTTTTTTAAAGTCTCAAATTTAAATGTAAAGAAATAACATTAACTGAAAATTTGAAAAAAAATTGAAACTAAATAATGTGGTTTCATTAGGGGGGAAGTAGGGAAGGTTGGATACAGAAGGGAATTTAATGTATATTTGTAAGCAATGATAAACTATTGCTAACAAAACAATGATTCTGAGCGGAGTTCAGTTGATAATGATTCATTGTTAACAATTTATATGTCATATTAAATTATAATTCATAATATTGAGTACAACCAATTACCCAGTAAACTCTTATGTTTTTGTGTAAATAGTAAAAATATTTTACTATTCTACAATTTCATATTTGTGATTGATTTGTAATAAAATAAATAAATTGTAAAATAATAAATCAGATATCAGATAAAATATTAATTGAAACTATTTTGAATGTGTTTTTAATTAATTTACATTTATTTAGCCAATATTTTTCGAAATGTTCACATGTTTATGTGTGGTAAGTAGGTGAAACATTATCACCATCTTTAACAAATGAGTTATATATAATGTAGTTTAATTTAAAATACCTATTTACTTACCATTTTCATTAAAACCGGTTACCTTATTTTTAATCTTTCAATCTTTTTAACCTATAGCCCCAAGTTTTTCTTATTATCTCGAATATTAATAAGAATTTTAAAAAATGACCTCTTTAAAGTACAACCCAGAGATCATTTCCTTTAGGAAAAAGTCTATACTTGATAATTGGAGTAAGTTTTCTGGTAGAAAGGGTTTACATAAAAAAACAAATATAAAAACATAATAAACGACATTGTAAAACCAATACATTCCTTGCTCTGCTCAGAATCTAAAAATTAAATAAACATATTATGATAAAACAACAATATTATTATAAATCTATTATTTTACAATTAAAATGATTAATCTTATTTTATTGTTCCTAATTTGTTTTAATTCTTATACACTTTATTTTTTTTATTATATATAATTTATATACTATTTTAGATGCACAAAAAAAAGTTTTGTATGATATGTGGATTCAAAGTGATGCAATTATTACAAAAGAAAATCTTCGGATATTTTTCAATCACAGCCGAGTAATTCATTATTGTTTAACACCACTGTTGTTTTTGCCAAGGTATAAAAAAAAACACAGACATAACAATAAATTAATGCATTTTTTATAATAAAAATAATATAATTATATGTTTTAGGTGGCGGTTAGAATTATCAGCTACCCGAGATAATGGAATGGATTCTAAAAAAATAAAACATTTTCCTTCTCTTCCACCTCCACATTGGCATAAACGATTATGTGCACAGTTAACAACTGCTTATGCACAATTTATTGAAACAAGTCCTGTTTTTAATGGTTTTCAATTAGTTCACATTGGTAAACAACGTGGAAATTATGATTGGTATGTAAACATGTCATAAAATATGTTTAATAATTAGATGTACCTAAATAATTATGTTTATCATTTTTATTTTAGTAAAAAAATGGAGAAAGATAATATTAAATCCACAATTTGTTACTTTAAGAAATCTATACCTGGAGTTACTGGTGGTTTATTATTATTGGAAACTGGTGTATGTCCCCCATTTTATTTCATTAAACTTTGTTCTATTGAAAGAGAAAGGCTTACAAATCAACTTGAAATATACGACAATAAATATTTACCACTGGTACTAAACATAAGTATTCATTATTCTTTAATCATTTAAAGATAAATATTTTTATTATTATTAGGTTTTTTGGTGTATTGAATAATTTGTTTTCAAATTATTTTTTGTTTTAGCATTCTCTTCTTGATCAATCTGAAACTATTATAAGGAATATGCACTTGCATTCATTTACTTATGACTTTCATGTGAAAATACTATCGGACAGACTAACTAGATTAGTAAAAAAACAAAAAGTAGCCAAAAAAAAAAATTACAGCCGTGACCTATCTGAACTTTTAGAACAAAGTTCTACACAAGGTATAGAAAACAAATCAGAAAATGATAGAACAAAAAATTCTATTTCCAGGTTTCTAGATGATTTTTTGAAATATTATACTTTACCACCGATATACTCTTGTTCTTTAGTACTGGCTGGTTAGTATTTCAAGTATTTAATTGCAACAATATAAAGAAATATAAATATAAATTTGTTTTTAGGTTTTATTAAGCATTCTCAAATACCTGTTACTGGTATTCAGCTGTATAAATATTTATTAGAAAGTTGCTTGGAAGATTGTGATGGGATGGCCGTTATAAAAATTTATGACAATGCTTTATTAGATGGTGATGATGTGGGTTCTCTATTTGATGAGGATGATAAAGAATATAGTGAATTTCTTAAAAGCCAAAATTATTATGGCAATGATTTGACAGTAAGAATGAAATAACTCATAGTGATGGAAAGTTTTTTTTTGTTACCTAACAATATATTTTAATAATTTCTTATAGGATTTTATTCTTGTTCATCACATGACTGGTAGTGATATACAACAAAGACAGGAATTAGAAATGAAATCAAAAAATTATACTAAATTGGGATTAGAATATACAAATTCTGAGATTGAAGTGTGCGGTTTGTATGATGCCACTCTTATTATAACTCTATCATCAGTTGAAAAATTATTTTTGGAAGTTAGTAATGAAATACATTTATCTTATTATGTGCTGTTGACAAACAACGAAAATGATAATTTGGAGAAGTAAGTTTATAACTATATGGATAATAGATATTATATGTATATATATATTTATATGTGTTATATATTTTATTAATATTTGTAAATTAGAAAGGATCTAGCTTTACTAAAGACAGACTATAATGTGCACCAAAGACATAATAGTACACTGATGCACCCTTATGTGCGTGGATTTAATGAGTCTAGCAGCTTATCCAATAGTGTGCCTAGTGATAGCCTTGGCAATGCTGTAGTATCTTATTCAGCTACTTTTTTGGAAAACTTCAAGGATAACAAACAACCAGAAAATGTATCAAATCTAAAACATAATTACCAAAAAAGCAATAAAGATGAATTAAATAATCATTGTCAGCAAAGGATTAAAAAAACAAACCTAATAAAGTTTTATGAAAAAAAATCTACTGAATTGGTAGCATATACCATAGACACAGCTGCCAATCACTGCCGTATACATTTGCTATGGCAATCATTTAGCATACAATCTGATCATAAAGTAAATAATTATTATATTTTAATTAATGTCACTGACCAAAATAGCATTGGTTAGGTGTTACAATTTTTGAAAATTAAAAAAAATTATTTTATTCAAATATACCCATTGGCTATGATGTAATAATAAGAACTATAACTTTTTTCATTTTGATTTTTGTTCATTGCAAACCTATATTATCCCATTAACTTTAAAATAATTCAGGTAATATTAACATAACTCTTGTAGAGTTTATAGAAATTTTATTGGGCTTAATTCTTGTAAAAAATTTCCAACAGTTAGTTAATCAAACTGTTATATAATTGTGTTATCTCTTCATATACTAAACCAAACACATATTTTTAATATTGATTATAATCTATAATATTAAACGTAATTTTAATTTTAGATTCTGAGTGGAGCAAAGAAGCTTATGGTTTTACAATAATGTTTATTTTATTTGTATTATTATTTTTTTTATCTGAACAATTTTTCTACCAGAAATATTGCTCCAATTTAAAATGATAGCACTTTTTCTAAAAGAAAATCTGACTAGGGATGTACTTTATAGATGTAATTTCTTATTTTTTCACTAGTTTTTCCATTAAATGGAAAAATTATGGGAAACCCTAGTAAAACCTGTAAAATAGGTACAATATTAAACAAATATTATTAAAGAAAATATATAACGTCTGTGTAATTTTATTACCATAATATGGCATATATGTATATTATTAAAAAAGAAACACTATCAACCGCTTAGTCTTTTTTTGCTAGCAATGGTTTGTTTATTGTTGCTTACAGATATAAGTTCAATTTCCCCTCTACTATATTCCCAACTTCTCACCTACAACAGTGGCCTATCACTATGTCTATTTTTTTAAATTCTAATACAAAAAAATAATATTAATAATCTCACATCATGTTTTTGACAATCTGAAATATCTTAGTCTGTGGCATCAGTGTATGTAATTATCTAATGTGTGGGACTGGTAATAAACTATTTTATATCTTTTCAGAAACTTGGAACTACAACTAACAATACATTTAGTATTGATGAACTGAAGATGCTTGTAAATAAATCTGGCCTTGTAGAACCATTAGCTGCATATGATAGTCGATTAAAAGGTCTAATAGAAGAACTTTGTAAAATACCTCAATGGTTTTCTTCATTCCATAAATTAATTAGTGGGCAAACATACTTATCCTCTTCCACGTCAACACCACCGCCACCACCACCAACAACAATTACAACAACACGATGCAGGATTTATAATCACTATAACTCAGACCGACAATACTTAGTAATTTTACCATATAGTTCAGAAGTTCAAATTAATGTATTTATAGTTCTTGATAATGGAGGTGATCCAACTGATAATATTGCTACATCTTCAAATTCTTTGATCAATATAGTTTTTAAAAGAAATAAAAAAAGTTCTGAAGAAGTAAATATGTTAGTTGAAACTGTTGTAAAAGCTATGTGCTATCAAATGTGGCGTGCAGCTGCATCCGCTAACTGTAAAGATGCTCGTTCAAAATAATTACAAAAGTAAACATATTGAAAAAAGAATTATTAACAAAATAGTTTATATAGGGAAACTATTATTATTACTGCTTAATTGTGCCATTTACTATTATACAATCTAGTCATTTAAATTTCTAAAATATGCATGCTATCATATAAATAATAAATATATATAAAGTGATGTATTATTATTATTTTTATATAATAGTATACTAATTTTATGCATCAAAATTTAAACTAAAGAAATACACGCATAATATACTCATATTATACTTTTTTAAATATTTATCAATACAGTGGTATTAAACTATTTAAAATAATTTCATCTCAAACAAAATAGTTTATTGTAAAACTAATATCTTTTTTTTTTTTTAATATTTATTTTTTTATGATTTGAATATAATATTGCACAAACAAAAATATTATGACCAATAGATTTTTATTAGATAATACATAAATTAAAGTCTGGTATAAAAAAATGTTGTATTTTGTGATCACAAGTGTGTTATAAACATATAGTACAATTTTTTATGAAAAAAAATGACTGCTATTTTATAGGTATAATATATAATTATATAATGTTAAATGTGCATTGTTACCAATAAATATACTTTTAATGATAAACGTCTCATTGATAAACTTTTTATTTTTGCTCAATAATAGGTAGGTATTATTATGAATAATTTGTTAAATTCTTGATACCTACCTACAATTTTTAATTTTTGTTTTTTTTTTTTTTTACTCAATTAATTGTTATTGTATTATATTGCTCTGTAATATCATACATTAATATTGTATTCATTTATTTATATATATATATATATATTTTTTTTTTGTGTTAATTGATGAACTGATCTTAATTTTTTTTTTATCTCTTTTTAGCCCATTTAATTGTGTATCTATCTTGTAAAAAAAGTGCTTGCTTATGAATAAATAAGCAAAAATCAAGTAGTAAATTCATTTATTTATGTATATTGTTTAATACAAATTTTGTTATAAGGTTCATATACTCTTATTGTTAGAATCACATTTGTATTATCTTTGTTACATAGTCCTACAAATTATACTTATTTTTAACTAAATTGATGTGAATTTATTTTTATTTTAGACAGGCAAAAATGATAAAGTGGTTTTATAGTAATAACACCTATTATGAGATTTATAGAGAATATTTAGGAGGGAACCTAATATGGGTTTTGTAATATTATATATATATAGCTTAATATAAAAGATTCAAAAACTTTTTTTTTTATATAACTGTATCTTTTTAATATTTAATACTTTAAAACCACATATGAGATTCCCTTCAAAATATTGTTATCTATGATTTTCATTATAAGTATTTTTACTCTAAAACCACTTATTAATACAATTTCGTCTGTTTCCTGTGAATGTGTTTTTAATGCTGAAAATGACTGGTGTAGAATCCTCTTAAATCATTTTCTGTATTAAAAAAGCTTGTAATCCAGTCTTTCCCCAAGACTATCAGCACTGTCATCAGCATATTATGATATTATTAATTGACCATTAAATTTTAATTTACCTAGTGCTGAGATATAGATTATGCATAACATGGGAGATGAAACTGTTCCTTGTTTGTTGGATGCCATATTACCAAAAGTAATTAATTTTTCTTCACTACAATGATTATTTGATAGTTATTATTGGAAGATAGGAATGACTAGTATAAGTTTTTTGTTTTGTGTTTTTATTATTGCTATTGCTGCCCATAGATATCAAATAGTCATTAAATGTCAGTTTAAAATTTTTAAGAGTTAAGTGATGGCTTCTTTAATTATAGACCATAATTTTTTGGATTGTTAGCAAATTTGCTTATTTTTTGATTATAGTAATTTTGTTTTTCTGTTTGGATAATGTCATATAGGTACCTAGTTTGTTTTTGTATGTTTTATATTTATTTTTAAGGAGTGTGTTGAAAGGTTGGGACTTAAGAATTTTATTTTATATATAACTGATTAATTGGTTTTTGACTTTTGGTTTTGCTATTTAGAAGTTGCAAATTGTATTATAATATTTTATTTTGTTTTGTTAATACTTGAATCATTTCATTGGCAGATTTTTAATTTTTAATATTATTCCATTCTATTGCGTTTAATAGGGCAATAACCTAATTGCAGTTTGTAATATTAAAGTGTACCTTAATGGTATCATTTTTGAATTAAGAGTTTTGGTTAAAGTAGTTTGATTGAATAATAATTAGATAGTGGTCTATAATAAAGGAGTCAATTGTTACTGATGTGATATTGTAATGATTGTGGCAATCATAGATAAAAAGAAAAATAGGGACTAGTGCAGCCACTGTTACAGATAATTTAATATATACCTGTAAGCAACACACCTATGTGTGTGTATGTGTGTAATGTATATTTCAGTAAAAATAATTAAAAAATATATTTGCAAAAAATAGGTACCAGGTTGGTTGTTTCTTTGTACTTCTTGTTCTACAGAACATACAGGTTATGCTGGTATATTGTTATTAAAAGAAAAACTTTATTTTTTAATTTTATTGAACAATCAAAATTATTTTTTTGGGTGTAAAACCACTACCTACTTTTAATTTTCAAAGACAACCTATAATAAAAAGTCCATAAATAAATAGAGTATTAGTTAAAATACATTTTAGTATTGAAATGTTTGATTTCTGTCAAGCCATTGACAAGATATTCCATTTTTAAGTTTTGGTTGGAGAAGAGTAGTGGTGCATTATTAACACGCCGCGTGGTATACCACCACAATAATAATACTCCACTACTCTCCTCCAAACTAAACTTTAAAGTGGAATGTCTCGCCAATGAATTGACGTAAATCAAAAATTTCAACACTAAAATTTATTTTCACTAATAGTACATCTATTTATGTAATTTTTACAGTAGGTTTCCATTTGAAAATTAGGGGTTTTATCTGTAAAAATAAGGGTGACAAAAAATAATATAAATATAAAATTGTAGAGCAGCTTAATTCTTGATTGCTCTAGAGAATAAATTCCGGAACACTTTCCGAGATAACGAGTGTCTTATAATAGATATATCACTCCGTAGATAAGATTTTATTCTATAAATATACCTTAAGATATTAAATACATGTATCACTGGATCGTGATAAATTTGGAAACGTTTAGATATTGTCAACGCACATATAATGTTTTTAAGGTTAAATGTTTTTAAATACCTTAGGTTATTCCATAGCTAAATTAAGATAAGTACTGACTTATAGTAGTGACAGCGTTCAAATGCGAAAAATTAACTGTTTAGAAAGATTCAAGCCTAATCTACCTAGCCACTGTGATTGTTGATATCGGTTGTCGTTTAACGGGTATTTTCGATTGAAGAAAAAAACGTGTAAAAAATTGCTCATTATCGGGCGACCGTGTTCTCGAGGTGGCGGTGGCAGCGTATCCGATCACGGGTTATCTTACACTTTAGAAGTGAAGTTCTGTTTATAAACAATAAATTAAGTTAAAACCTAAAATGAGATTTGACCTGTCCATCGATGGAAAGAGATACAATATAGTATCACATAATTTTACATTCTATAGTTATTATATTTTTGGCAGTTACAAAGGGTACTGTAAGTTTAAAGTCATAACCATCATCCTCACTTTCTTCTGATGAAGTGGAAAATAAAATTTCACCAACTTATTCTAAAGCTAGTCCAACTAACTCATGTTCATTTAAGTCACCCATTAATAATTAAGTACTTATTAATATTAATTATAATTAGGGGTTACATAGAAACTAAAATTTCCTTTTTTGATCAGTAAGTATAACTTTTAATGAACCTTGTGATACATTTTCAGTTTGAAATTTGAATTAAAGATACCTACTTACCAAACAAAATACATATAAAAACAAGCAATTATAAAGCATATAAAGAGCTAGAATGTTTTGGAAATTTTACCACGTCTACAAAAGTCTAATGTAAGTATTTTGTGAAAACTACAGATTTCTTCAAATAGTTTTAACCAAATAAGAACAAAACATCAAATGTAATATTTTCAATATTATTTTAGATTTGTCGTAGTTATTAGAAAATCTAACGACATTCTTGTTCCCAAATTAGATACAATTGTCTTTCGGAAAATATGCTATTCTTGAAAGGTTCTTGTGAATAGAGATTTCTAGTAGAAACATAAAACAATAAACCCAATTATTATGAAAACTACTTTGGATATCGAAAAATGACTCTCTATTAGTGAATAGTTATTCAAAGGAACAAATTTGATTTCTTGTCATTTTTCGATAAGAGCAAGTTTCCTATGAGAAATTTATAAATAGTTATATTCCACCTGGTTGTGTATATTCAAGAATGCAAAAATAGTTCAAACGTTTTCCAAGTTTCCGAGGTTATACGGTTCGTGATTAATAATTTTGTTTTCCGACAATATACAGTCCGAGTGTTTACAATCCGGAAACAGATAATCCGTACAAATATGTTTTGCATATTTTTTAATTCTGGGTTTTTACGGTCCGTGATTAGGGTTCGCAAATTTTTTATTTCCGGAAAAATACAATCCGGGCTTGTAAGGTTTCCGGTAAAATACAGTTCGAATGTATTCCTGAAACATGTAATCCTTACAAATACGGTTTGAAAATAAAAATTCCGTACTAAATATTGTACTTGAACATAGAAGAAGCAAGCCCGTATCCAGGGGGGGTTTTAGAGGTTCAAACACCCCCCGAAATTTTTATAGTAGGTATATATTTATAATATAACAAAGACTAACTACAAACTCTATGTATAATTTGTATTTATAAATTTCCCAGTTTCCCACTAGTCATTAGTCCTTACACGTTATCTTAAATTTTAAAATTATTATTATTTGTTTGGGTTTGTGTGTATAATAATAACAATAATATAATATTATACGTTGTGGAAGGATAATCGACACGCGTCTCAACTCTCGGTTGATAACTACAATATTGTTCGCCAGCTATGAGTTTAGTCTGTTTTTCAGAAGTATTGAGTAATAATATAATTGTATAACGTGTATTTCATTTGATTCTGTTCCTAATATCTAACGACTGTGTATCTATTTACTTTTATATTATATTTTATACATTTCTTGAAAAATGAAACGAAGTATATCTACTCAGTCGTCACTATTAAATTTTTGTCATAAGAAAAACAATCAGGGTGAATTGGATTCAGAATTAATTACTACAGAAGAAGAAATTCCGTGTGAATCTACTACTGAAAAAGGTGTATTAGAAAGTACTCTAGAATTACTAGAACTTCGAGATGTTGGACGGTATATAAATTTTAGAATTACTGAAGATAAATTTAAGTACGATTTATTAAAGAATCCATGGCTTCCTTATTCAAATTATAATTTTCCGGTTGTGTCAAAAAGACAATTAAAATTCAAAATGTCTTGGTTAACACGGTTTTCTTGGTTAGTTTATTCGAAGAAATTAGAAGGAGCATTATGTAAAATATGTGTTTTATTTTCTAATGAGTGCATCGGAAAAGGTTCAAATCAAAAAGTGGGTGCTTTAGTAAGTAAACCTATTATTAAATGGAAAGATGCTTTAGAATATTTTAAATCACATTGTATTATAGATTACCATAAATTGTCTGTTATACGCGCTGATGAATTTTTACAAATAATGGATAATAAAAAACCCGACATTTCTATAGCTATCGATTCAGCATATAAAAACCTGGTTTTGGAAAATCGTGCTAAATTGGTTCCAATTATTGAAACAATTATTTTTTGTGGTCGTCAGGAAGTGGCATTAAGGAGAGACAATGACAATACACCTATTTTAGCTGCAGTGCTGATAACAACGATGGAAATTTAATTTCGTTGTTAAGATTTAGAGTGCAATCTGGAGATTTAACATTGAAAGCCCATTTAGAAAATTCAGCAGCTAATGCTGTTTACATAAGTCCTCTTATACAAAATGAGTTAATACATATTTGTGGTACATATATTCAGACTCAGATAGTAACCAAAATTAAGCAAGTTGGTTTTTTTTCAATTTTAGCTGATGAAACTTGCGATATATCACGAATAGAACAGATGTCCCTATGTGTGAGGTACATTGAAGATTGTCGAATAAGGGAAGATTTTTTAACTTTTATTCCTATTTATGATGCATCAGGAAAAGGATTAGTCCATACAATAATGCATGAAATAGACAAATTAGGTTTAAAAAGGGAAAACTTAGTCGGTCAAGGATACGATGGCGCTTCTTCGATGAGTGGTATATATAATGGAGTTCAAAAAAATATATGCAATTTAGTACCCCATGCTTTATACGTACATTGCGCCGCCCATTCGTTGAACCTTGCTATAAGTAAATCATGTGACATTCCCGAAATAAGAAATTGTATTGGTTCTATATCTACAATTACTTCGTTTTTTCGAAAATCTCCAATAAGGTCAGATATTCTTAAAAAGTTCATAAAAGACCTAATTCCACACACACGCCAACAAACACTTATGAAAAATGTGTGAAACCCGTTGGGTTGAACACCATGATAGCTTGTTGCGGTTTAAAGAACTATACTTACCAATAACAAATACATTAAGGGAACTCGAACATCATCATAATTTAGAAACATCGCAACATGCATTTCAACTTTCTAAAACGATTACGTCCAGTTCGTTTGTAATTTTATTGTACGTTACAGAAAAACTATTTGTTATAACATTGTCTTTATGTAAATCTCTACAAAAAATAAATGTAGATTTATCCGAATGTTGTGCATATGTCAATAACTGTGTGCAAGTTATTAATTCAATTCGTGAAAATAGTGAGGAAGAATTTCACAAATTATTTTTAGAAGAAACTATTTTTACATGAAACGGTTAAAATGCCACGATTAATTGGACAATCCATCCATCGTAATAATATTCCAGCAGATTCACCAGAACAGTACTATAAGAGATCTATTTTTTTGCCATTTTTAGACTACTTCAAAAATCAATTAAATGAAAACACAATAACATTATTTCTGGTTTGCAAAACTTGCTTCCATGTTATCTTATTAAATTAAATGCAAGTAGCAATGAGTTAAAAAATTGCATTGATTTTTACAAAAGCTTTTTACCGACTTATGACACTTTTGAATCAGAATTGAAGGTGTGGATGGAAAAATGGAAATCAGTACCCGATAAAGAACTTCCAAAATCTGCAATCGATACTTTAAGCGCTATGTCGAAGGACCTTTATCCAANATAGCTGCAGCGATGATCGTCTAACAAGCTTAGCTTTATTGTCAGTCCACCGGAGTATCTCAATAAATATTGAAGAAATAATCAATACTTTTTCCAAAATGCCACGCAAGGTTAATTTAATAATTTAATAATATTATATTTTGTACTGTATACTATTATCATAAAGTTTATAATATAATTTATTTATCATTTATTTCATTAAAAATATTTTAACCCCCCCCCCCCCCGAAAATTGATCCTGAATACATGTTTGAGAAGAAGGATATAAAATCTTTTTAACTTCATAAATCAAAAGTAAGATACATTAAAAATACCATAAGATTTAACTTCATATTTTTGAGTTACATTGTATGTACCTCAGAAATTATTTTCGTTTTGAAATGTAAAATGTTATAGTCCAGAAAATATTTGTATTAAAACATATTATCAATAAATTAATTGAATTTAGAATTATTACTATCTTCTACTTAACCAAATAAAAAAATTGAATTAATATATGTAAATACATCATAACACATAATCATAATACGCCACTAACTAACAAAAATAATTCTCTTCGAAACAATATAGAGTAGTGATTATTATAACTTAATATAGTAAAATGTTTGTAGTAAAATTGAGGTCCCTATTTTTTTTCACATTATACCCACCTATAAACCGACCCACCCACTTATTTACCTAGGACATTTGTCATAGGCAAAACCAACTTTCGATGCTTCTGAATCTATGATAATTTAAATTTTATACATTAACTACAATTAGTATTTTACATTTTAATTTTTAACGTGAATGAAAAGTGTTATTTGCTAACGAATACGCTTTTACACAACATAAATGATTTATTATTAAACCTATAATAATAATAATAATAATGATATTCACAATTTTAGAAAGTAGGTGATTAAAAATTGGTTTTTATTATGAAGCCTTATGAAATTTACTAATAACAACGGTCATTATTTCATACATTTTATAAATACTAATTATGTAAAACGTTAAAAAATTTTAGAACCACTGCTGTACCATGTATCCAATATAGACATCACTCAAAAAATGTTAAATAAAAAAAAAAAAAAACGAAAAATGTTAGGCATAGATAATTGACGATACAATTTAACTAGTGATCGTTTTCCGTTCAGTCATTCGAGTTTAAAGTATAATGATATTATATTATTGTAATAGTTAGTATAATTGTAATATACATAATGTATAATATAAATTCTTAGCCTACCCGCAGTGTTATTAATGTGCACAAAAAATATGGCCAACAGGATTTTCAACAGGATATTCTTATGAATAGGTACGATCAATACAATACGAGAGCGTCTTTTGTATGTGTAAGTATTCCAAGAATACAAAAAAAAAGGATAACTACATGTCAATGACGTGTCGGTCAATATTTGTAACATTACATAGGTATAATTTTAAAATCACCTGTTTCACTGCCCCACTCTGTATAGAAATATTGTACGACTCAATGATGCTGATCCATTTTTGATGTAAACATATAAATAATATGTTTGAGTACTATACTGAATCGCTAAGGGTGACTAAACTTTTTTTGGTAGAGATTTACAAAGAATTTATTTTTCCTCTCGACTTCCATAAAAAGAAATGACTATCTATATAGAGTGATATTGTATAATATGTAGGGAGTATCAGAATATTAGAACGGTTCATATAATATCTATTTAATTATTTTACCATAATATGAAATATATTTTGTTGACAAAACATCACTATCAAATTGAACTCCGCTGAAAATCGTTTTCTCGTTAGCAATAGTTAATCGTTGCTAACATATGTACGTTAAATTATCTATAACAGAGACTGCACCCGTTTCCATTATCCTAGGACGTCTTTTTAAAATCGGTTTGTATATTTAAAATATTATTAAAATAATTTATTTTTTTTTCATTATATAAGTGTAATTCTTCTAAAACTGAATTTATGTAAATGTTATTTTGGGTATTCAAAATTTCTAAGTCTATTGATATCAAAACTTTTGTTATTACTTATATTTAAGTGCTCTTTTATTTTAAATTTACATGCAAATTTATGAAACCAATAATATTATTAACAACAAAATATACAGTCCATAAATAAATGTAAATTATAGATATGTTTATGATACATTCATTTTATTTAGAGGTTCAAATAGATGAGCAGAATTTAGTTAACTACTTAAGGTACTTTAACATAGCTATTAATTAAGGAGTAAAATTTAGGTAATTTCTATTCAAGTCGACGGTGACCGGGATCTTTGGATTAGTCGTAGGTGATTAGTAGTGTGAGTAAGCTTCTATGCAAGTACTGCCACAGTTACTCCACCATCTTCCCCGTAAATTTAAACAGGCTTACTGTTTATTTTTCCACAAAAAAAATTCAAATTCACTGCCGCCTTTCCTGCCGTAGATGTATCGCCACGTGCCTCATCGTTATCGCAAATTTATTTATGGAGAGATTATAATATAATATTATTATAGTTATCCGTTCATCCCTCAAACGAGAAGAGGACTTTCGGATTGCTAAAATGGAAATTCAGTTGATACATTTACAAAAATTGTTTACTAACTAGAATAGGGCAATCCAAAATAACATAAAATGTACCAATTAATTTTAATATAAATTATTTTACCTATTTTTACTCATTATTATTTATTTATATTTTTGGTAGGTATGATTATTTATTTTTTTAGATTTGGAATGTACTTAGCAAGGAACCTGTTGATTTTACTATGATGTGTGTACTTATATTTTTTTGTTTTATTTTTTGTGTTTGTGAAAAATCTTTCCACCAGAAAAATGTCCTCTGAAGTATAAACTATAGCACTTTTCTGAAAGGTAATTTTCTTCCATTGGTGCATTAGGGAGGTTTATGAATAATTGAGTACAATAAAAAAAAAAGTAGATATAACGGAAAATGTATGAAAATTAACTATTTTTATTGTAATTCAGTTTAAAATATTCATAGAGACTTAAAATGTTGACAGAAAACTTATAATTACTTTTTCTAAACGTGATAAAACTTTCAGAATATTTGAGGAATTTTTGAGCTTTTTATAGATATTTTAATATTGCTATTTTTTTAGGTAAATTTTATTTGGTAGTTATTCTGTAAATAAATTATTCGACTTAACAAAAATGTTTAACAATTTTGATACGAGGTTTATTACAAGTTGTACTTGGAGATCAAAAAAAAAACATTTAATTTAATGTTGGTAGGTAATATTTTTTTTTTATTTATATGAGTTAAAATCAAATGTTGATAAAAATTATAAATATTTCGGCTGTTCAAAACAAGTATAACCGAACATGACTCCATTCCTAATTGATTAGAAATAAAAAAAAAATCGATCTCTTGTCATTTTTCAATAGAATTAATATTTTTAATTGAATATATTAAAATAATTAAATAGGGAGGCTTCGTTGTCGTAAATATTAATCATGTTTATTTTTTTGGTTTTTCCAAATTACTTGGAAAACTACTTTGGATATTGAAAAACGACTTACTTTTTCAGTAGCTATCTATTAATATGAACAAAATTGACTTCTTGTCATTTTTCAATTGAAGTAATATTTCTGGTAGAAAACTTTGGTATAACACAATGAAAACAATAACACCACGGCGCGGCGTAAATATTTGCCGTTTTTATCTATAATTTTCTATATGACCCAATCCCCAATCCACTAATTAGAGTAAATTATCTTTCAGAAAAGATGTTATAGTCTATACTTCAGAGTGAGTTTGCTGGTAGAAAAGTTGTTCACAGACAGAAAAAAAACAATTAGATCCCTCGCTACGCTCCTAATCTAAAACAATTTGCGTTATCATAATACAGAAAAGTTGAAATCTGACAATTAATGTTGTATTTTATTTATATTATTATTTTATTAGTATTAGTAGATAACAAGTATTTATAAATTATAGATTGCTATTCACTAGAACGGCGCGATGTGTTATAACAGCAAGTTACGTGGCGCGGGTACGGGACTATCTACGCACTCTCACGTACATGTCAATAATATAGCAAGACGGAAAAATTATAAGTTCGATTTTTTTGCTCAAAACACAGTTTACAGGAAAAACTCTCACGTCTCGCAGATTTATCTAATTTCAATAGTATTTTTTGTTAGAAAGAGGGCAATGTTTTACAGGGCGCATTAAAGTTCAATTGTTGATTACATTGCTAAAAGAAAAAATATTACACAATTTATAAACTTGTACAAATTTGTAAAATTCAAACTCTTATTGTAGGGTTTATAAATATGATTTTTAAAATTGAAATCCACTGCGCCCTGTAAAAAGTCTCTCTTTCTAACAAATAAAAAATATTGAAATCTGATCACTCTAAGAGATGTGAGAGTTTTTCCTGTAAAGCATGTTTTTGAACAAAAAAACAGGTTGTGCGCAGGCCCTTTAAACAAAATAAATAAAAACATTCAATTTACACTCAAACTCAGTGGCGTATTTATGGGAGGGGTCGAGGGGGTCCGGGCCTCCTACGAAATGAAAAACACAGGTATTAAAAATTGTTTTTTTTTGTAGTTATGCTTTTTATGGGACGTTGTAGCGGCGGGAGTAAACGAAAAATATTGATATAGCGTCTATGTGTTTAGATATTACATTGAATAAATTTATTCTGTAATTATTATAGCGACGTCACGCCGCACTGATGAACGTGATTACCCCACTGTATCAAATCTATTTTTGGCCGCGTGAATTATCGTTATCAACGACACGACTGTCGGCAATCCCAGAATAGTTCCGATTATTCTAACCAAAGTAATATTATTATAAAGTAATAATATTCATATTTTCTACATTTTGATTTTCGGCTGTCGGTAGTTATCAGTAGACAGCCGCTGCGATAGTTTCATTGTTCGTTATATTTTCATTATTGATAGTTTAATAATTGTGCATATATTTTTGTATTAATTTAATTTTTATTTGTTTCAACCAACTACTAAATAGTAATCACTATTGAATATTACATAATGTCGTTATTAATTTAATATATTTTGTTATATAAAGTGATCATTATTGAATTGCCATAATTAACTGGGAGAAGGGCTACCTTTACACTAGCTACCCTCTCCTTTTTCCTAATTAGTGAAATTTACATTATTTTTTTTCAGGTAGTAAAAATGTACCGGTGGAATTTATATGAAAAAAGGTTTAAAAAGGTCAGAATCGGTGCAATTTACATGTGCCCGATAAAAACAGTAGGTTGACCAAATTTAGAAAGCTTTCATTGTTCTTTATCGAATATTGTTATAATATTAAATATTTGCGATTAGTTTCTGTTCAAAATGAAATTGATAACTGAATAGGTATACGAATATTATGGAAACAATCATAAATTCCGTGACATAACTATATAAATGTTTGAAACCGGTATAAAACGATGTCCCGAGAAACGTTGGTACGTCGGGACATCAGTTCCTAAACCGGTAACGTCCCAGAAAATCCGGGACGAATGGCCACACTACGATTATAATCAAAATCATACAGAGTGATTTTTTTTATCATGAAGCAGCAATTATCTCAGAGGATTTTAAGTGATTTTGATTTTGATCTTTTCTAATCTTTATAGAATCATTTAAGCTTAATTTTAAAACCATTTTTAATTTTTCACCCTTACTCTATATACCTTAAATAAGTACACACATTTGATTTTCAAATAGGAACATCCCTTTTGAACACAGATTTGAATAGAGAATATTTTTCTAGACATTATTACATGTATAATACTAATATCAGACTTATCGTTTATGAGTTATAACAGTTTAAAGTTTAGACCAGAGGAGTAGGGAAGGGTTATATATATAGGCAAGGTTTTATCTTGGATGTATACGACAGTAAGTAATTCAATGAAAGCCAAAACCTTCAGTAATCTGCTTTACTAATCGGACTGCAAAGGGAATGTTACTTCTTGTGCGCCATAATGTTTTAACACAGATTACCTACTCTCGATTTTGTTACTCCTAACTAAATACCCACGATAACAAGTACTGATTAGTTAAAATGGGTCTTGCTACTTTGTTGTAAACGCCACGTAAAGGCATGACGCATGCAACAGACATTTTTCGGTTCGCGAATTCCTAAGACCATCAAACAAGTAAATATTGACACCTATTATAAAAGAATTAAAACAATCTAATATTTTGGTGACTGCAATAAAGAATACTGCACAAGAGAATGGTTGATTAGGAAATCCTCAAGATTTATAAAATATAACTCTTGAGTCGCTTTATACTCGAAACAATCGCGTAACATATTTTGTTGAGTAGACCAGTGGTTTTCAAACTTTTATTAAACACGGCACACTATGACTTTTTTGATATTTTACCACGACACCATAAACGAGGATCATCCATTTTTATACCAATCCTATTTTTAAGTAATCTTTGTGATACTGACAAATATTACTATATTTTAGGTTTTTTTTTGTGGTTGACTTACTGAAATATTATTATCAACATAACGAGTTACAAATTTATCCATATTAATAATTATTATTATTATAGGTAAGTAAATAAATATCACAAATGTATTTAACAAAAATACTTGTATGCTGTTAAATAGATATATAGAACTACGTGACAAACAAGTAACAATACTACAAATATGGACAAGTCGGCTTGAACGAATATACTGACTGGGGACTAATAATATTACTTATACATTTTATTGTTCAATAGTTATCTAAGATAACTTATCTTAATCGCTTTATCCCTATAAACTGTCAATTTATTAATTTATAAATATAACAAATGTATAACGAGTGAGCGTGTTATATTTATTCTATTAATTTGCATATCATAATTCAATACAATCGGTGATTTATGAAAACAATTTTTAGAAGACACTAATGTGCCGTGGCATCTAATTTGAAAACCACTGGAGTAGACGTACCTATAATATTATATTTTAACAATAATAATAATGCCGGTGACGGTGAAGAACATGTAAAACGATATTAAAATATTTTATTATTATTTGCGGCTAGATATGATATAGTAAATGCATTTAAAAAAAGGTTTTTTTCAAATTAATTAAAATACTATAACTTAGAACCTAGAGTTTTATTTTTTAACATACATATATTATATTATTGAAGAAATTAAACAAAAAAGTAAGAAAAATTTTTATATTAAAACTATTTTTACTATTTTACTATTTATTTTTTCTTTTTCGGCCCATCATCATATACCAATAATATTTCACGCATTAATTTAATAGGTACCTTATTTTATTACTTTATAATAGTAATCTTTATTAATGGTAATATAATTCCAATTAGGTATATTTTGTATGCATATTTTAGAGTACAAAATACTATAACGGAAGTTAGACTTAATGGATTGTGTTTAATGTCAATTAATAGAAATGTTACATTTTTCGTATTTGACGAAAATATAAAATATCTACTCTCGTTTCTGCGGTGACGACGACGCGAAATATAATTATCCCCCGATTCAACGATTATACATCCCACTACTCTCGTTGCTGTGGCGACGACGTACGACGAATGACGACGACGCCGGAACCTCCATTATTAGGTTTATATTTAATGACCGGTTTTGAATTCAAAATTCATTTTCAGGTTTAATAAAGTCAAATAAAATCGCGACTTTTTTTTTTATAAATTTCTGGTTTATAAACTACGCATTTGATTACGAAATTTATTATGATTGTTATTAATTTGTATTTACATACACGTTTTGTCAAAAGAACAATATGTTGACTAAGTGTTTAACTTTATAATTAATCTTATTTGTCGTTATAAGTATTTGTAATGCTATAAAATGGTATTTTACTTAGTTTCTATAATTACATCACGTGTTTTAAAGGTTTAATCATTATTAAATATAATATCAGTACATGTTTTTTTTTTTAAATTTAGCTTTTATTTAGATGGAGTCATAACACAGTATTATTGTTGTGTAGTAATTCATAAAAATAAAAATAAATTCAAAATATTTTTAAAAATACAAAGTATACTTAAAAAAAACTAAAAATTATTGATGTGATTTTTGTTGTTGGTTTTTATTACGAGTGAATCAAAATAATAGTGCACAGTTGTAGGTAAAAAGATTTTTTTTTCGATATCCATAAAATGGGAGTTTAGTAGACTTTTTTCGGCACCTCGTTTGTTCTCAAACTTTAGATCCAAAGATCTGAAACTTCCATCCCCACCCTGTTACCATTGATACCCACATATTTGATGGTAGCCTATTAATACAGTTTGACCTTCAATCGATCCCATTTGTTATAGGAAGTGATAGGCATACGAATCTTATTCTTTATACTCTACCTATATTGTTTTTGTAGTGAAAACGGTCAACAAATGAACCGTTTGTAATTTACACAGTATTGGTTTGATGGCCATGACGAAAATAGTGTCTCTGATGTTATTTAACGTAATATTGAGTATTGTTTTATACATTTTAGTGTCTTTAATTCAATTTTTTTTAAAAAAAAAATTGAAAAATGTACTTATTAATTGACATGGAAAAAATTGACATCCAAGTGTTAGTTACCATTTCATACATAAACACCACCGGAGAACAAACACATTTGTGCAGGGCTAATTTTCCCGTTGGCTGGGGTTTTAAAGTTAAAGTTTTTGACCAAAACGAAGCAGTTTTATTCGAAGTTCACATCTCCTATCAATCAGACCAACTTGCAAACGTCGAAAATAATAACTATTATATTACGATAGCGCCTTTACTGGAAGAGGGTAGCTTTAGAGCGGCCATACAGATAGTCGGCCCGACTCCACATTCCGCGTTTGTTTCGCCGAGAAATTATGGGCAAGACTTATTGATTAGACTTTTGGATGATCAAGAAAGAGAAGAAGCAGGAGTAGAAGAAGAAATAGAAGAAGAAAGAGAAGAAGAAGAAGAAGAATTTAATGTTTTCCCAACCCCTCCGCCAACCCCTCCTCTCTAAAACTTCATCCATGTGAGTACCTACACATTTCATTAATCTAGGTCAAGGGTGGTGAAAGTTTAAAAGACACGTTATTAAAATATTAAATCGCTATTTCGACGAAAGCCCACTTCGCCGTTAAAAAAAATTTAAACTTATAAATATTTAATAAAAATAATTCATTTAAAAGATATATTTTTAGCATTATATTTATTATTATTAATTATACATATTCCCCAATATTTAATAATATTAAAAAAAATCGTTATATATATATTTTGAGTATTATAGATATTATTCTACACATTTGTTAATATAATATTACATAATAATAATAAAACAATAATAATTTTAAAGGTACATTTAAAGCATTAGGTCGGGGAGAATGGATACGATTATAACATTTTTCATAATATTATCTTTATCTGCAAGAATTTAAACTACTTTTGTATAGTTTCACTTTTAGTTATTAAAATAACTTAATACCTTTATAAACATGTAAGTGTTGAACCTTAAATTTCTAAGTTTTTAAATAAATGAGGAATAAAAAAAAAGACATTTTTACAATTCCCTGTTCGAGGTACAATTACAACAGAATTAGGGATAAAAGTAAGATATTTCATTTACTTTAATTTTAAATGGTTTAATTGAATCTTGATTTATAATTCATTCTAATATTTCAATAAAATAATAGCTTTATGTATAAAAATACATTTGTCTAATAAATTGGGTTTTATTTTAATTTGAAGTTTTGAATGATTAAAATACTTGTTATACATTTACATACACTATATACAATTATTGTTCTCATTTAATATTTTTTCAATAATTTAAATATTGAGAAAAATATTTAATGGTTAGTATATTTTAAAAACACTCACAAAAACTAAATGAGTTTTTGACTATGTTATTACGAAGTTGTAATAAACAATGAAGAAAATGTAATACTAAACCTTAAAAAAAAAATTTTAACAGTAGTTAAAAACGGGACTTTCCTAGTGGTCAGAAAAATGATAAGGAAATTATAGCAATAGTGAACTGCAAACAAATCAACTTTGAAAAAAAAATATTTTGTTAGTAAGTATGTGTGTACTTATTAATAAATTACATAAAATAAATTTTTTTTCCGCTGTTTAATAGTATTCAGATGAAAAAAAAAATATAATTTGGGGTTACCTCTTGTGCATGGCTTGTATCTTCTATACGATTTTGTCCATCTCTTTTTCACTTGACATGTTATATTATACACTTATTATTATTGTATTGTTATTATACTAGTTAATTAAGTAAACATACCTTAAACATTATATAATATTTTATTAGCAAGTACCCACATAATGGAGAGTATTTTATTGACATTGTATTATACAAACAATAATATGAAACTTGATTAATGTTTAACAATAATTATATCTCTGATTATATTTTACAGAATAACCAACCTATACTAACAGTAGGCATGTTGTTCTCCAATTTAGAAATTAGACAAACTACAAAATGTAATTGTACAAAATGAAAATTTGTTTTAAGAAAAAAGTAATCTATTGTTAACTAATAGGTAAAAATAACTGGCATTTAAGACAATTCTTACAATATTAGAAGGTGACTGTTATCAATTAATTTAATTTCAAATTATTTATGCAAATGTTGTAACTACCATCTATTTAATTAATTTGAATTGATTGTTTTTTAAGTTATTGCTCTTTATATACCAACTCATTATAAGGGATTGTATGTTGTTTCAGTGAAAAACTGAACAAATTGATTGCAGTAGTAATAATGCATTAAAAAAATAACCTAAATAAAAATTCCCCTTATAAATAATAAGGGTTTGTTGGAAATACTTTTATATTTTTATATTTAGGTAAACTTGTGGTTGAAAATCATTTGTAATTTTATTAATATTCATAATTTTTATAAATAAGAATACAAAATATACAATTGGAATTAATGAATTTAAAAGCTTTTTACATTTTTTTAAAACAAATGAATCTTTTATTAATACCCTTTTGTATTTTATTATCATTTAATTTGAAATGTATTATTGTTTAAGAGTTTTGCAGAGGTGTACGCATTGCTAATTGTGAAAACTGAGTGCATATACACCACATTATTTGAATACATACGAGATAATTTGCACCAAAATTATGAAAATTTGACAATAATTTTTGAATTAGCTTGAATAAATAAGACGATTATTGCCTGGAAGCACTCACCACGGATGCTATTTCCACCACTGTCAGGTACCTAATAAATAATCAATAAATCTTCAAATAATAAATACAGTCATATATTTACATAATTTGTGTTTTTACCAGGAAATTCTACGCCATGTAAGGAGCAAGGACATAAAAGTATATCACTTAATGAAGAAAAATCACATAGCTTCATGTATTTTTAGGATGTAATTTAAAATTAATATTTTAATTACACCATAATAACAAATTATAGTATATATTTTCATGACCATTTTCATAACGGATACAGATTAATTGGATGTTTTAGTAATATTGTACAATGCGTAATTTTAACTTAAAGTATACTTAAGAATTAAGTGCAAGTGTTGTTTGTGTTTATATAAAATAAGATAAAATAAAATAAACTGAATTGAAATATCTAACTCAATTTTGAGACAATAGGCTTGAGTGAAGGAGTTATCCATTAATGGAACTCCATGACTCGAATTTAGTACATTTTAATATCTATATATGTATATATAAATATTCTTCTTCTATTTTATTTCTACATAAAATAAATAAATATAATTGATGTACTAATATTTATTTTACAGTAAATATCAAGTTGTACAATGTGCTATCGGTCTATACATAGTACCCATTAATTGGTTTAATAAGTTGACTACCTTTATATTTTTGAGAATACCTCGGTAATAGCTTTGTGAGTTAATTTTAATACTCACCTAATCAGGTCAACCACGCTCTAGTCAAAACAATGAGTTTGGTCATAAATGCTTTTAGTTTTTTTTTTTATTATAATTATAAAATTTTCCAGCACACCTAGTGCTATTACAACTTTTTAGTTTTTACAATTTTATTTGTTACAAATTTAAATGATTATAAATTTATTAATGACATAATTATTAATAGTGAGAGTTTAATGACATAATTATTAATAGTGAGAGTGATACACAAATTTAAATGATTATAAATTTATTAATGACATAATTATTAATAGTGAGAGTGATACAATATTAATAGTGAGAGTGATACAATAATGTGTTGTATATATGAATATAATAGTAACTATGAGGTCTAGTATATTAACAATGGTCTTCATTTTCTGATGATGAGTCTTCTGTGTCTGTTAAAAGAATGTCCTGGGGAAGTCGAGGCCGCAGACGTCTATTGAGTGTTTTTTTTCCTATATTGTAATGACGAGCACTGTCCAAGTTTTTTAGTTTGGCGTGGACATTTTTAAATTGGGTTTTAATCCATGTATTTATCAGGGGTATTTCCATGTCATTATGGATCTGGCGATTTCTCATGAACCACGGTGCTTTGAGACATATCCTTAAGAATTTATTTTGTAAGATTTGTATTTTGTTTATTTTAGTTATAGAGGCAGCAGACCATACAGGACAGGCATAAGTTATCAGTGGTCTGATTATTGTGGTGTAGAGAAGGAGAGAAGATTTCATTTGGAGAGTTGATTTGTAATTCACTAAGGGGTAGAGAATTCTCATCCTGGCATATCCCTGAGTGAGTTTTTTGTTTATGTGAATATTCCATGTCAGTTTTTCATCGAGGAAAACTCCAAGGTATTTGACTGAGTCATCTTTTCTGTTCCATTGTATGATATGGTTGTTTATGCTAATATTTATTGGATCGTTATATCTTTTAAGGGTAAATATTTTAGCCTCGCTTTTAGTCGGGTTTAGTTTCAGCTTCCATTTTTTGAACCAGGAGGTAATTTTGTTTAATAAAGATTGTAGTTTTTCGATTGATAAGTTTAATACGCTATCTTGCGTGAGTATTGTTGTGTCGTCCGCAAACATTACCAGTTGAGAGTTAGAGGGGTTGGGTATGTCATGGCAGTAAATGTTAAATAGCGTTGGCCCCAATACTGACCCTTGTGGGACTCCAGATTTGATTTTGTGTTGTAGAGATAGGTTTGTGTCTATTCTCACTTGGAATGTTCTGTCTGTAATGAATGATGTGATGGTTTTTAACAGGTACATAGGAAGATTAAGTGCTTTCAGTTTTATTTCAAGTCCATGATGCCATGATGACCTTATCAAAGGCCTGTGTTAAACTGCTGTAGTGTATTTTTTGTTTTCAAAACCATGTACGATTATTTCTGATATACGTTGGATCTGGTGGCATGTGGAGTGCTGTTTTTTGAAGCCAAACTGGTATTTTGGGAATATGTGTAAGAATGGTTTTATCCTATTCAGTAAAATCCTTTCGTATAGCTTTGATAGGGTTGGTAATAGGCTTATTGGTCTGTAACTTGCGGGAGAGTTTGCTTGTTTACCAGGTTTATAGATTGGGACTATTATGGAATGTTTCCATGTAAGGGGAAAGGTACCTAAACTCATGGTTGAGTTAAATAAAGAGGCTAGGTATGTTAATGCTTTTGAAGTATGGTTTTTTAAAATGTTGTTTGTTATTAAGTCATGACCGGGACTTTTCTTGCTTGCTAATTTTGATATGATTAATTGTATTTCCTTGGGGGATGTTGGCGTGATAATGGTGTTATGCTCGTGATTAATTTTGTTTGACATTTCTTCTGAGTGTTTGTTTTGATGGTGAGTGTCATCTTCCGTAGTGAAGCATGATTCAAAGTAGTCAGCAAAGGCTTCGTACTTTTCTGCATTTGTGTCATAATTGGCTAATCCGTTTTTTAAAGAGGGTATAACATTGCGCTGCTTAAGTACTGTTTTTGTAGCTAACCAAAGACTAGAGTTATTCAGATTGATTTTTTCCAGGTAAGCACCTTAAGAGTTATATCTTATGTTATCTAATTCCCACTTTACTCTTTTAGTCCTCTGATTTAGTCTTCTTTTAACTCCTAAATTTCTTGTTCTCTGCCAAATTTTTTTTACTTTGTGTTTTTCTTTGATTAAATCTATACATATAAAATCCAAATACCACCGACTGACTGATCGCTGTATCTCAAAAACTACGTAACGTACGGACTTGAAATTTGGAATATAGGTTCTTCTCATATTTTCACCGTACAATAAGGAGGGATTTTCAAAAATGTTGCGTTTTAGTGGAGTANATTCACCGCCAATACGTATTGTGCGGCACGGCGGCCCGCGGGTCTCCAGCTACCTGCAACCTATCCTTTTTGTTCGTCGTCGTCCGGTCGTCGTGTAGATAAGAATAATTGTTCCGAGAAGTTTATCGATAAAAATAATCTCATGCATCGCGTACACCAATTTTATTATTATGAACGATTAAATTAAAATGCACACCGATAACATAAACCAATACTATTTATTAGTTATCTCTCCATTGTCTTGCCACGATGCCTATACACTAAACACGTTAATTTCATTTGCACTCCGTACTACCAGCAGTTCGAACACGCGTAACATCTAAAATATTTACAATAATAATTTTATATTATTTTATTATACATTGTTGTTATAATATACAGTGCCAGTAAACACATGGAGCTCATCGACGTTCGCGGTGTCATGGTACCTCACCGTGCTTTGCATGTGGAGGGAGACGGTTCATGTTTTTTTTATTCACTTTCGTATCACATGTATAGCACCGTCTCACATGCGCCTCATTTACGGGTAAGTGTNATTATTTTATTATACGTTGTTGTTATAATATACGGTGCCCTTAAACACATGGAGCTCATCGACTTTCGTGGTGTCATGGTACCTCACCGTGCTTTGCATGTGGAGGGGGAGACGGTTCATGTTTTTTTTATTCACTTTCGTATCACATGTATAGCACCGTTTCACATGCGCCTCATTTACGGGCAAGTGTCGTACAATACGTTTGTAACAATTGGCAACGGTTTGAACTGTACAGCATGATGCCGTGTAGAAATATTTACAGAAATATTAACGAATATCATGCTCACATGTCCCTTCCTACCACTTATGCCACCCCTTGTGAAATTCACGCTGCTTCTGAAATATACCCGTACCATTTAGTGGTATACAGAGATGGCGATGTTATTTTACAGCCAGACGAGTACTTGGAAGAAAAGTTAATATTTCGTTTTAAGTGCACTGGTCCTATGATGAACGCACATTTTTTCCTCTATATGCCCCATCTCCTCCTTCAAATGTACTTACCGTCTGTACTTCATTTGTCTCAGGCAGTACTGCCAAACCTTCAAATGTACTTACCGTCTGTACTTCATTTGTCTCAGGCAGTACTGCCAAACCACATCAGGCAGTACTGCCAAACCACATGCAAAATCTGAATGCCAACAGTTGTCATCAGACAACAGTTCTATAGTAATTAACGAAAAAAGTAGTAAAAGGAGTTTTTCCGGGCAACGCCGGGTAATTCAGCTAGTAATAACATAAATTCAAAGCATAATATAAACTTATAATTCAGTATTATTTTTTGTTTTTTTTTAATTATATTCAATAATTTAAAATAATATTTTTTTAAAATAGTACATGGGTAGGTATAAAATTCATATATTATAATTAGGACTAGGGACTTTATGCCTTAAAAAACCTTACAATATGCATGCGTTCATGCCCTTAAAAATTATCATATATGCTAATAAAATATGCACAAATACTAAAATATACTCTTAAATATGCTCTAAAAATGTTTTCATTTTTCGTTAAAAATGCAAAAAAATTACAAATTTATAAAGGTACACTATTATTTTCATTTCTTCTTTATGCTTGCCTTTAAACAGATTAAAAAAAAAACAAAAATGTCAATTATAAACGCATATTGTTTTAATGATTTAATAATTTTTTAAATCTTACCCAAATGAATTGCACTACATCACTAAAATTTGTCCTATATTTTCAAACGTAAATGACCGGCGATTGTTCGCCAATAAATTTTTGTATCTTGAAAATGAACGTTCGACAGTAACAGATGTTAGTGGAGCGAATTTATAGAACTGTAAGTTGTTGAGTTGCAAGTTTTCAAGATTTTCCATAGAATTGTCTATACCTTCTAAAATATTGGAATTGCTTTTCCCGATTTCACCATATACGACGCAGCGTCAGACAAAAATAATAAGACTTTATCATGTTGAACGTCTTGTAATCATAAAAAATGTATGGATTTATCAAAATGTTTAAAAATAGTTTGATGTTTGGCTTTTTCTAATTCTTCTGTATTTAACAAAAATATCTCACCCAGTCCATCAGTTAGTAAAACTCCTATAATAACATTGGCTACGAAGCGACCTTCAACGTCGGTCGTCTCGTCAATAGACCCATATTTTGTTATTTGATACATGATTTCGTATTTTTTCTTAAATATCTTTATAACAGTCATTTACGTAACCTCTACGAAGAGTAGCTTCCTTTGGAATTTCTTTTCCTGTATACTCTTGTAAAAATGTACTAAATTTAAAATTTTCTATTTTGTATAATGGAATATTAGCAATCAACATAGCTTTACATAAATCTTTGTTAGACTGACATTTTTTAGTTGGCAGATTAAATTCGAGAAGTTTTTGACTTTTTTTTGGCTTATCAATGCGGTTAATTGACTTGATATGTTTTACGGTTTTAAGATATTGTAACACAGTAAAACGTTTTTGAGCACTAATTTTAACTTCACAAAGTTTACAAAATAGGACTGATTTATAAATTAAAAACACAGAACTACCGAATTCTGAAACATATGACTGTAGGCGACTGCATGTATTTAGTTTTACTTTAGGCATTTTGTTCTTCTGTTTTAGTTCAAAAAAATAAAACATTTGCGTCATATGGAATTTTAAGAGATGCCTTGAAGCTGATAAGAAAGCAGCTATTAGCTTAAATTGTACTGTTCTATTAAGTCCTTCAAATAAAATTACAAACTGTAAGTATTTTGTTGTATGGCAAGATCAGAATTTTACAAATATGTACAAATTATTCATTAACTTATAATAATCATTTTGAAATTCATTTTCTGTTCTTGCACGAAAATTTGTGTTAAAATTTATATATGATTTCAACCAATATTCATTATCAAATTTTAGTACCCTACATATTTTCTCTAATTTTAAACCTAAAGTTAAATGAAGCCTATATTAATATAATGTAGAATATATTTTTTCTTATCATATAGAGTTGTTGTTAATTTTGGTAGTTCTTTATTATCAAACACATTTTTGGGAGCTAGTGGATAATTAAAATGAAGATCGTGAAGTTCTTTAGGATATTTCAAATCTACTTCCAAAATATAAACATTTTCCTGGTCATCTTTCATTTAAAATATTAAAATATACTCTGTAGTAAATATTAACACATTTCCCATCCATGAAGATTATTTGCATCCAAGTCTAAGAGATATTCCGTTAATGTTTGTGCATGAGCACTTACATCATGAGCATTTAAAAAAAATGTGTAATGGTAAAGAAGAAGTTGAAACAGATTTTTCCGATGGAGATATAATTTCTGTTAATGAATGTATACCAGACGGTTTAGTTGTTTTTGATGATTGTATGTTAGAAAACCAAACTGTAATTAAAGAATATTTTGTAACGTCTAGACACAAAAATATCTCATGTATCCGTTTAGCTCAAAATTATGTTTTAACAGATCTACGAACCATAAGAGTACATTTAAATTTGTTAATTTATTTTGAACAACTAGAACATTATGTAAAAAAACTTTGTAACAATTTTTTAGTAGTTTTAGGACGTTAAAAGAGTTTAAATCATTATGTGCAACTTGTTGGGGCGTTCGATATGGATTTTTATCGAAGATTATAAAAAAAAAAATATTTGTATAGAAAACGAAATCCGAGTTCCTCGGCCACTTTTTTTTTCCTC